ATTTTTTTTCATATAAAACGTTTTTGACTTTTTATTTTTAAAATGGCTGATTCTAAAAGAAAAAAGCATGAAATCTATGAGTGTAGATTATCATTTCATTAAAGTGAAAGAAAATGCAATCGGAACATTTTAGAAATCATTTTCAAAAAAACGCATCGATTTTGACTAATTTTAGAAAAATTGCAAGAAATTGAAAATATTATTATTTTGTAAAATAAAGTATACCGTATCGTGGCGAAGTAAATGATCTTTCCGATTCTGTAATTATTTTTTGTCTGAGTGTCATAAAAAATTGCATCATATCTTAAAAACGTCTGGATTAAAAAAAAACGGTCGGAAAATTGGAACTTCGCGGAATGGTGGGTACAAATGGCAATATTTATGCGTTTTAAGATTTTTAATTAATATCCTTTTGACTAATTGCACTTTTGGAATATAAATGGTCAAAATGGATTCCTTGGATCATTCCGAATCTTTTGGTACCGTCGGCAAGCTTTGCGTCGTCTGGTTTGTCAGAAGATACAGTTAGCCTTATAGTCTCATACGTTTGTTTACCTCCGAATTTCAATAGTGTTGATATTAATTAAAGTAATTTTTTCTTGTGGAATCTTGCGAACGCGATATAATTCTTTTTAAAAAATAATGATATTTTCTATTTTTTACAATTTTTTCTAAAATGAGTCAAAATTGATGCGATTTCTTGAAAATGATTTCTAAATCGTTCCGTATGATTTTTTTTTCGTGTTATTGCATCGATATTCTGCACTAAGAATGTTCAGGCTTTTCTCTTTTAGTCAGTAAAATTAAAAGTCATTTAAAAAATAAAATTACAAAAGCTTTTTTTTTTTAAGATTTTTCAAAAAAATACTTAAATTTTTAATAAAACATTCAAAAACTTCGCCATTTTTAAATATAATCGCACGAAAATATTTTTTTTTCTTTTGTAAAATATTATTATCCAAATTCTGCACAAAAATTGAAAAAATTTGGTTTAAAATTACATATTTTTTTAAAAAAATTTTGTTTTTCGTTTTTAATATAGTATAATAAAAGCAAAAGAAAAAAAATAGTCTTAATATTTTTATTAATTTTGCTTTATCCAATGTTGTTTTGATGCAATAGTGTTTAGCCCCCCTTCCCATTATCCTCTTGTTTTGGCTCGAGTGTAATATGTGTGATATGTATGTGGCCTGGTGGAAAAAAAATTTACAGTACCCCTTCGCTAGACTGTTCAAAATTAAGCGGCAAACGACCTTGCAACAATGATTCGCTGAATGAGATTAAGAGACTGAGAAATCTTTGTCCGGTAATAACTAAAAAGTAAAAAAAAAAAAAAAAATTAAAAGTAAAAACAAAACTTTTTTAAAAACAATCTTTTATTTAAATGCTCTAAAAAGAATAAAATAAACTTTTCTTTTAAAACGTTTTTTTTTTTTTTGCTATCAACTCACAAATTAATTACACAATTATATGATATAAAAGCTTGTCGCGCGCGCGAGATTTTTACCTGTGTAGATAAACAAGCAAATTAAGTAACTTGATCTCTGATTGATTTTAATTTTTAAAATTTTCAAACTAAGTAAATACGAGTATACTTAAATCTCGTAACAGGCTTTTATATCAGAAATTGTGTGACGACTTTAAAAGTTGATAGAAAAAAAAGTTTTGAAAGAAAAGTTTATTTTAGAGCATTTTAAAAAAATTTTTAGAGCATTTAAATATAAAAGCTTGTTTTTAAAAAAGTTTTTTTACTTTTAATTTATTTAAACTACAATTTGTTTTTCATTTTTTCGTTTGATCTACATTAAAAGCGCATTTTTTTCATTTTTTAAGCAACCATTTATTCCTTGATGAATTCATCCTTAACTTTGATATTTGGAGCCATATTAGGTGCAATTTATAAAAAATGACCTATTAAACGCATTGCTTCAAGAACTGATGACAAATTTTAATTATAATGTTAATTCGTATCATCTAAATATATTGCTTTATAAAAAAAAATTTTAAAAAAATTACCACTTAAAGATGAAGAAAAAATTATTTCTGCAACTTTAGTATGCTTTGAATGATTTGCTGACAGACAGAGAGTCGTTTACCATCTTAGTCTTAATATTAATCATTTCACATGACATTTTTGTTCCTACAAGTAAATAGAAAATTAAACGAAGGATCATGGCATGATCGTCCTCGAAAAGTTTTCGATCATCTCTGATACCAAGTGATTCGAAATCGAAAAACCGATTCAGGTTTTCTTCTATTGATTCAGCAAATTTTGTTTTAGCTTCCATATTTCAATGTCCGTTAATCGGGGATCTGATGATCCTGATCAGGACAATGGAACAAAATTATAAAGTTATTGTATTGCCATCTGTCCACGATAATATTGCCAAATTTCGAGAATTAATCTGATCTTTTAAAGTGGGAAAAATTCGAGTTCAAAAATTCCATTATATACATACAGGTGAAGCTAATAAAAACGTGTTACAAATTGACTTGTTTTAAGAGGGCGCCGATGTTATTGAATATTAGTTGTTTTTTTACATCCTCCACAGTTTGATATTTGCGTTTCAAGCACGTCGTTTGATTTTGTGTTAAAAATTTAAAAAACATGATTGCTCAATTATATATCCAAGAACTAAAAGTTCAATGATAAATTTGCTTTTGTTAAATGTTCTTTGATCTTTCACAATTCAAAATAGTTTTAAGAAATATACTTGTTGCCTATCCATTAAGACTATTTTCGCCTCATTTTAAAAAGTAGGAACTGTGTATATAGATTAATGGAACCTGGAAAAAAATGTATTGAATATTCGATAGTAAAAAACTAATTCCCTTTACTTATAAATATCATAACATCATGATTAAATGCATTTACATATTTATTTTAACTGCTTAGGATGAGAAAGATTCACTTGCGTCATAGATCGGGAAATTAGTGGATTTCTCCATTAATTTCTAGAAGACTCCATAAAGGATCCTTAACTCGCCAACATGGTCACCAAGTTGCCGAAAATGATGCCAAGATTTTGGTAAGTTTCTATTGTATCGTCATTATAACATAAGAGACGGCGTTGCTTGCGAATATTACAATTTTTACATAAAATAAATATAACATAGAGCAATATAAATGCATTACATATCCAAATACAAATTATTTACACTGTTTTACACAAAATTCGTAACAGGTTTATAAAAAGACTTTCTGAATGGCTTTTAAGTGTACTTTTTTTTATGTCATGCGAAACATTGTTGCAGAAAAAAATGTCAGAATACATTATATAGTGGTAATCTCAATTTAATAATACTGAGATTCTCATTTTTTAGGACATTTTTTAGGATAAACTTAAAACTGTAAGAACGCTTATGTCTAAATTTTTTATTTTTAGATGTAATAGGTTTCACAGAAATTCACATTGCAAATATAAAAATCTTCATAACTAAACACTTCTGTTTTTCTTCAAAAAAAATTGTCAGCCGATGATTTAAGTTAAAAAATTCAACTTACCATTTGGATGAATGAAATCATAGTAGGAAAGATTTTGAAATAGATCTTTCCCTAAATATATGACACAAAACACACCAGCTTTTATTTAAAATCATCACATGTAAATATTTCTTATCC